ATGTACCATTTCAGGGTGGCACCAGTTAAGTTGTCTTGGAAGTAGTGAATTAATAGCTTATGATCATTAGAGTAGGTGGACATCTTCCTCACATACATGGTCATGTGACTTTGCGGACATGAGTCACCTTTGAATTTTTCAAAGTCTGGCACCTTGAACTTAGATGGGATTTTCACGTTTAGGACTAAGCACAAGTCGTGAGCATTTTTCCCGAACAACTCTTTCCCTCTAAGTGCTCTAATTTCCCTATGCATTTCATGTAATTTGTCTTAGAACTCATCCATCCTATCAAAGATACCTAAACTTTCAACAGGTTCAACATGATAAATGGGTTCATTTGTATATGGAATAGTGTGAATCACGGGAGCAACAATAGTCATTACAGGCTGAGGGAAAGATACCATAGGCTGGACCACAGGTTGCACAGTAGTTATCTCAGGTTAAGGAAAAGATACAATAGGTTGAATCATAGTTTGCACAGTAGGCTGGTACCCTTATGGCATGAAATTGTAAGGCATACCCCATGGAAAACCTTTCGGCATTTGATGTTGCGGAGGGTTGACATGAGCCAAAGAGGTTGGAGCAGTGACGATCTCAGAAGCCATAGTAGTTTGAGCTTAAGCTTCAGCGGCCGAAGTCGATGGCTGATTCTGAGTAGCCGTTAAGCTTTCCACCAAAGCAGTCAATTTTTTCATTCCGGTATGAAGAGTAGTAACCTCCTCGGGAAGCTCATGATTTTCTTGCTCTAGATCTTCCATTTTATTTCGACAATTGGATCTAGTATTATATTAGTGAAAAAACTTGATGATCTATCGGAGTGGAAAAAGAAGCAAGAATATGACTCTGGGAAACATGTAAGATTGAATGTTGAATGATGCATGATATGTGATGCAAATGATTATTTATTTTTGATAGTTTTTCAGGGAACTTTAAAACTCTGATAACTTGCAAACATCAATGATAAAGAACTTTGGAACAGCAAAACTTATTTCATTAATAAAAGGCAGAAAATTACAACTTTGGAACATAAAAGCCCTTTAAAGAGTTTTACAAAATGGCATAAGTAATAAAAACTAGGGACTACGATCATTCAGAATCATCATCGGACGAAGTACCAAATTCTACTTGTAACTTGAGCTTCCTAATCTTCTTTTCATAGAAGTCTTCCTTCTCTATCTTCTCGTCTATCAGCTGATCAACAACTTTCTTCAATGGATTAGAAACAGGAGCAACGTCTATCAAATCTTCCTTTTTTCTCTTCTTTTCCTTAGCATATTTCTTGAGCAATGCATCTTTCTAATGAAGCTTCTCATCATGATCAATAAACCAACCATCTTGAATAAATATCATATCCTCCTTCTCCTTCATCTTTCTAGTCAGGACCCTGTTTTCGTATCCTGATATACTATGTTTTTCCTCCCAAGCATCTCTTTCAGACTCCATCCTAGCCAGATTTTCCTGATACTCTTTCATGCTCTTAATAGGAATGGCAATAGATGATGGTGTAGTAATAGGGAATAAGGGTTTCACGGGATAATAAGGCATCTTGAGAGCACAAGCCCTAGCATGAACCCATTGAAGGTAATGCTCCAAAGAAACAAAACCTCTCTGCCCTAATATGTCTCTTCCCTTTCTATTGACATGGCGCCAAGCCCTTTCAATCTCCTCCTTAGATGCTTATTTATCCTTTCCATCTTGGAGAAAGAAACCACTCAGATGAATGTTATTTGGCTTGTCCTTCATTGGGTATCCAAAGTGGCGATGCGCAAGGACAAGATTGTAGTTAATTCCTACCTTCGTACCAAGAAGAGTCACATTGGTAAAAACACCACAAATATCAATGATCTTCACATCATAATAAGCTTGATTATACCAATCAATGTCGGAATGAGTAAGAGCCATAACTTTTGGCGCCCATCGTGGCTCCTTCTTGAGATCCCAAAAAAAATCAGACCCAGGTAAATGGGAAACATACCAATGGTATAACAATGGTCTACAATAGATAATCATCCCACCTTGGTAGGAATTCAGAAGATGGATGGAATAGAAGGTATCTCCTAGCAGCATAGGGACTGGATTTCCAATCAAAAAGATTCTAATGATAATGACATCCATGAACTTATCGATGTTAGGGAACAAGAAAAACCCATATGCAAGCAAAGCAAAGACAACTTCAAAGGCAACAATATCCTTTATCTCGGGGAAGTAACGAGCTTTCTTCAATAAAAATAGTGCAGGTAAGCCTCAGATTCCTCCCTTGGTAGTCATGTTATTTTCTATCTCAGACTTCCTCAAGTGCGTACCTTCTGCTATCTCATGAGACTTGGGTTCCCCTTCTAAACCGAATAAAGGAACACAGTCGGTGGTTGGTAAACCAAATATATAAGAATACTCTTCCAAAGTGGGCATCAACTTGTAATCAGGAAAAGTGAAGCATCAATACAACATATCATAGAAATGGACCATCATAGTAAGGACACCCTCCTTCGTCTTGCGTTTAATAAGAGGAATAATAGATCCATACTTATTATCAAAATTCGTAAGGTTCTCAATCTTGGGAATCAAACTCTTCAACTCTTCAATCTCAAGATCCTTGAAACTGTAACTCCGAGTGTTCATTTTTAGAAAATCCATGGTAAAAGTACCTAAGATGTCTGCAAAAATCATTCTTAAGTTCCTTGAAAAACATGTTTAAAGAATTCCTATGGGTGCATGTATGAATGATAATGCAACAATTACACATAAGTTCACAAACATGGGGGTTCAAAGGTTCAACGCTACGAGCATGGATTCAAAGGTAAAGACCACCCCCAAGGTATGTACTAAAGGTTTAATCACACCTGTAAAACAAGGTTCTAAAAGTTCCCAGAGTCTACGATCCTCCTTCAGATATTACCAACATCCCGATTACTCGGTAATTAGCAATATTCTCAAGAGAAACTTGTCTAAGTGCAGCATCGTGTGACAACTACTTCCGGATTACTCCGTTATAGTCTTCGCACTAAACCTAAGAGGCCAGGATGGGATAAGGGTTCTACGATTCTCATCTTCTCTGGATCCCTGGTCGAAAGCAGTAACATCTTCCTAATTACTCGGTAAACGAATACTACAGTCAAAGGGGCTTCCACTGAGTGGGGGATTTCATGTCTCCTTCTTCGGGATTACTACCTCAAAGTTATCATGACTATATCGCCCGTCTTATTCTTAAGTATAATTTAGTCTGGGTATACGACTTATCCTTCGTAAGTATCATCAACACCCAAATAACCATAATATATAACACATAATCAAACCAACAAATAATAATAAAAATAGATATGACAAATTAGGCTTAACCCACTTAGGCATGGATCAGCAAGAGGTCAATCTTTCCCCAACAGAGTCGCCAATTCTATAGCGATAAAAAATGTAGCGGTGTAAATCGGAGATCGAGCTATTAATTAACTCGACTCGCAAAAGCAAGAGTCGCCATCACGCTTTATTATTTCCAAGGGAAAAGAGCAAAATAACACCTTTAAATATGCAATGTAAAGTATTACTTAAAAGTAATGAAAATACAATGCATTTTTGAAAGAGATCGAAGGTTTGGGAGTTGTTTATACAAAAGGAAGGTACTAGCACCAAATGTATCTGCGGTACTCTGTAGGAACATTTTAAAATGTCTGTTTTTGTTGGGTAAAATTGTTTGTTTGGTCAAAATGGGTGTGGACGAGATTTTGAAGATACGACGACCTAGTGTTGAAGTTTTTTACTTAAAAGGGATGTGAGTTTAAAAATTGACTTTTTAGGAGAGTTTTAACTTAAGATTAACAAAACTAAAAATGTATGAAGGGTTTCAAACAATCGTACTACATATACTTGATGACATGGAGTTAACAAAGTTAAAACATTTCCCTTGGATTTTAGACGTATGAAAGAAATAGAGATTAAATGATCGATAATAAAGTTAATTAGAATGACAATTGAATAATTAAATAAACAAAAATTAAATAAGAGATTAATTTATACTAGCATGTATTTTTGAACAATTAAATAAATATCAAAAATCAAATAAAAGACTAATTTAATAGCATGTATTTTTGTATTTTTATATGGAAAGATATATATATATATATATATATATATATATATATATATATATATATATATATATATATATATATATATATATATATATATATATATATATATATATATAAACTAAACTAATATTTTTTTATCATATATATTTTTAATAAAATTGGGAAATGAGGCTAAAAGAACTAAAAACGAAATGAAATGCCCTAGCGAGGGGTTGAACTCAGGTCTTTTTGGCCATCAGTGCTATTTTCTTGTCATTTGTACATCTTAATTAAACTAAAAAATGGAAAGCTAAAACGTAACTGGGCTAAAAGGCCCAAAGGACCAACCCGGTTTGGGAAGTGTAAAGTCAAAGTCTTGGAACCCTAAATAAAAGGGAGGTGCCGAATTTGTTATTGGGATGGGAAAGTTGTAGATTTTATTTGATTCCCAATTAGGTTCTATTTCCTATGTTTTACCATGAAAAAAATGAAATTAAAACTCACTCCTCCCTATTCACACTTCTTCCAACCTAAGCCAAAATTCGGATCCTCAGAAACCAAACAAGCAACATTCACCAGACAACTTCGTCGATGAACCGAACCTCCATAACCATACGGAAAAAATGAAGGGTCAACACCATCATCATTACCAACACTTCCACCACCACCAGGACTAGAAGATAACTCTGAATGAGAGTAAAATAAAATGGAATTCTTCGATGTTCCGTCATTAAGAAAAGGAAGAGTCAACAGAAGGAAACCTTTTAGCAGCCAGGTTGGTTTGTGGATGACCCATATTTCAAAAACTCGAGACCTTTCTTCAAGCAATCAACAAAATTATCAGAGATAGCATCGTGAAGGGATCGGAAATTGGGGGTCAAGATTGTATCATTCAAAAAGCTTCTTAGCAAATGCAATCCTCTTGTCTTCCTTCAAAGAATGAGAGGTTTCTTCCTCATCCTTAGCTCTGGCCGCCATCTCTTTAGTCATCACAAAGTCTTTCGCAGTACCTTTCCAGCCTTGGTCGTCGTCGTTGTTGTTGGAGCAAGCGTGATGTTAGAAATTTTACATAAGAGACAGTTGAGGGTGCGAGGTATTATAGAGGAGCTTGGGTTTTTTTTTTACTCTGTTCTCTTTCAATTTTCTGATTTTTTGATTTCCTGGCGTCTAGAGTTTGATTTTGTCGCTAAAAGAATTATTCTGGCTAGAAACATAGAAAATCGTCAAAACACCAAACTTCATATGTGTTTGTATATGCTATTGGAGTCTCTCCGATGGATCTTCAAAAACAATAAATTCTCCCTCCCTCTCTTGTTGATTCTCAAGCTTCTTTAACTCTGATTATTTGCTGTGATTCTTGAACCAATTTATTTTCCTTTTTTTCTCCCCAAGGTGGTTGTCTTTGGTCTCCTCTTATAAGCATAGTGGAGTGGAATTGAGAGGGAAAATTGTAGAGATTTTGAACAATTATGAATGCCCTGTTTTGATGTTTTTTTTCATACAGTTTTGAGTTGGTGTAACCTCTTGGTTGTTATGATGCAGGGCAGTAGTGGCATAGCAAACTGTAATAGACTCATTTATAACAGTTTTGTTTGGTATTTATATGCAGGTTGGAGCAGTGCAACAGGCTTTATAGCAGCCTGTTTTATAGAAGTTTTTTAGCAGTTTTATAGTAGTTTTGTTTGCAGAATTTGGACTGATCTGTAGGTTACTATTTGTAATGATCTGAAGTTGCTATTTGGACTGCAAAAGTACCACAAAAATGGGACTGTTATTATGTTGAAACATGGCTGGAAAATGGACAACATGTTTGAAGCATGAAGCTTTAGGACATTAGAATTATAGTTTTGATTTTTCTGTGCAAACTTGTAATCCCTCTTGTAAATTTGTAGTGATAATTCCAAATAAAATAGCTTCACACTTCTAATGGGATTTGGGGACTTTGCGTAACATGTAATTCTCTTGAATGAATATGAATGGAATTTTTGACTTGGATGAATCATGGGTGAAACTTGAAAAATTATCAAAATTCTAACAAGTCTTGGATTTAAATGTGACTTGAAATATTTCATTTGAATTTGGAATGGATTTCTCTTGAAATTTGAAGTCTTCCATTTAAAATGGAATTAATCACATTCCTTGAATGACTTTGAATTATCGTGCCCTTGAAAATAATCTTGAATAAATGCAATATGATAAATGATTTGAATCTTTAATGAGCCCTTTTGATAACTTCTATTTAGTTAACACTTGAGTTCACATGATGAAAATTCCAAGTACTCTAAATAAATATTTCCAAAGCAATCTTGAATTCAATCACCCCACTCTAACGAAATTCACCCCGCGTCATGTAAGTATAAGAAATCGAACGATACTTAAAAGCTTCGAATGATCACTAGAAGAGGGATTTGAGGAGAAATGTTATTGCATTGAGAATTTGGCACAATGAATTGAACTTAAAGATCCAGAAAATCTTAAATCATGACGAACGTTCTATAAAATCTTTTAATGGATTTCTAAACACAATTTGTCTTCAAATTTTAAAGAAAACTTGCAGATGACTTTTGGTCCAAGTGCTTTGAATTGACTCGCATAGTCTGATTTTTCTTGTATTTCAAGGCAAGGTGAAACACACGTGAACCAGTGATCATGGAACCTTGACTGTTTTGTTGAAGAATTTCGGAGAAGCTTGAGGCCAATTGCTGAACAGAGCATGGAAATAAACACATGATTCTCATAAAGTTCCCCGAAACAAACTATCACACTTGAGACATCCGTGACCAAAATAAGCCTGAACTATGTTCGAGACTCTATGCTTTGAGATTAGAAGTTGTGACCTAATTAATCAGTCTTCAAGAATCAATGATCAATTGTACTTCTGACTTGAGAGACTCAAAACAATAATTGAGGCGTGATTCTTGATGCTCTTGATTCAAAATTGTTTCTGCACATGAAATCAAAGAAAACAAAACATACACTTCGGGCTTGATTAGAAGTTAATCATGCATAAGATAAAACATTCACAACTCTCGATAATCTCTACACAGACAATGCTCGAAGGTTAGAAGTTCGAAACTAACCATATTTTGTGACCTTGATGTATATAAAAAAATGTAAATGAAGATGGGATCTTAGGTCAAAAATTGGGGTCTGACAATTATTGCACCCCGACGTGAAGAGTAGGTTGACTGAATTGTTTAAAGAGTATGTGGAAGTCTTAACTTAGTCTTACCAAGAAATTCCTGGTCTAGATACTGATATTACGGAGCATCACTTGTCGTTGAAGCCAGAGTGCCTTCCAGTCAAGCTGAAATTGGGAAGAACTCACCCTGATATGGTAGTGAGAATTAAAGAAGAAGTTTTAAAGCATATTAATGCCGGTTTTCTTTTGACATCTGTGTATCCTCAATGGATTGCCAATATTGTCTCTGTACCAAAGAAATACGGAAAAGTTTGCATGTGCGTAGATTACAGAGATCTAAATAAAGCTAGTCTAAAAGATGATTTTCCATTACCACATGTTGATATGTTGGTTGATAGTACAGCAAAATTCAAAGCTCTTTCGTTAATGGATGGATTTTCCTGATATAATCAAATTAGAGTTTCTCCTGAGGACAAGGAAAAAAATAATGTTTATCACACCTTAGGGAACATTCTGTTACAGAGTGATGCCCTTCAGGTTGAAGAACATTGGTGCAACGTACCATAGGGCTATGAAAACCCTATTCCATGATCTAATGCACAAGGAAATTGAGGTATATGTTTATGATATGATTGCCAAATCACAAACCGAAGAACGGCATGTAGAAGATTTGTTGAAGTTGTTTCAGTATTTGAGGAAGTATCGTCTCTGATTGAATCCAAACAAATGCACCTTCAGTGTCCGATCAGGAAATTTGTTAGATTTCATTGTCAGCCAAAAAGTAATTGAAGTTGACCCTCATAAAGTCAAAGAAATTCAAGAAATTCCTGGGCCAAGGACTGAAAAGTAAGTTAGAGGCTTTCTTGGGCGGTTAAATTTCATTTCCAGATTCATTTCCCAAATGACTGCAACGTGTGAACTGATCTTTAAGTTGTTAAAAAAAGATCAAGGTTGTGTTTGGATAGATGATTACCAAAGGGCATTTGAAAGTATCAAAGAATATCTGCTTGAACCTCCTATCTTGCTCCCTCCCGTTGAAGGAAGACCATTGATCATGTATCTGACAATGTTAGATAATTCTATGGGTTGTATTTTGGGACAACAAGATGAAACAGGAAAGAAGGAATATGCCATCTGCTGTACCCCAAAATTTGCCCTCCCATATTCCTCAAGACATGTCAAGAATAATCTTCAAGTTGCTCAAGTTGGCTCAAGGGTTGGACAGTCAAATCACCTCCTAAGGCAGTCAATTCAAAATTAGGGTTTTGTGTTGCATCAAGGTCCTTACATCCAAGTGGCCTCAAGCGATCCCCAATGTAATAATATGTTCTCAAGTTCATCCATGTCAAATTTCAAGCCTTGCAGAGGAAGTTTGGTCAGTCAATTGCTCAAGAAATCCAAAAATCGACTGTGTTAGGGCAAAAGTCAACTGTGTCCCAAATACAGTCAAACCTCAAGATTTTTTGTCAACATTCTCATTTTGAAATATAATTCATCATTTGATCAAGGTTTGATCATGATTCATCAAGGATTGCTCAAGATTCATCAAGATTCAAAAGTTGCTAAATTAGGGTTTTGTAGGAAAAGTCAACTCAACTTTTACCAAGAATAACTTTCTCATACTTTATGAGAAATGACCCATCCAAAGCTCATTTTGAAGAGGATGCAATTTCCTACAATCCATCTTCACACCCCAAGATCAAGAAATGCACTCACAAAAAGTTACAAATTTGGACATTATAGGTCATTTTTGAAAGTCAACAAAAACACCTTTTTTCCCAAAGCTCATAACTTGAGCATGGAACATGAAAATGAGATGAGACCAAAAAGGTTGATTAGAGGACATCTTAAAGTTTCTAAAAAGTCCAAGAACACCTCCAAAAGTTCAAAATTCAAGAAGTTATGCATTGTTGAAGTTGGCCATTTTTCCAAAATTGCCAAAAGTCAACTATCCTCAAAAACTCCAATTTTTGACAAAAGGGCCCACTTTTTTCCACTTGATTTGGTCTTATCACACCACACACGTGTCCCATCTTTAATTTCATGACCAAACATTTATTTTCTATTTTATTTTAATTTTTATTGATTTAATTCATTTTAAACTTATATTAATTCAAATAAAATCTAAAATTGATGTAACAAGATTTGTTGTGGGCATTACAGCTTGCAAATATCATGTGCAACTCAATCAATTCGTATCAAGGCTCATTCAAGCATAAAAAAAAAATCAGATTTGGCCTATTTTTGGAAGTTTGATAATGGTGATCAAAACCAAATCATGAATCTTCAATGCATTTGATTTCAGACCAAAAGACTAAACCTAATTCATTCTATAACACTCACACAAGTCACACAAACCTAGAACACGCACAAAGCTCTGCAGAAACGGCCATACCAAATTTATGAAAAACCTAGAAAAAGTGGAGATCGGATTCTGGTTTGGAGGCCTTTTCAAAGCAAAAGCTCAACGCTACTCCCTTCCCTGGCATTCAGTGAAGCAATACCAATCAAAACCAAGCATTTTCATTGCCTAAAACTCACTATAAGTCATCACGAACAGACCTCTGAACCTGGATTCTAAATCTCCAATTCTTGCATCTTTTCTTTAAAATATTGGCATATTTGTGATTGTTATTTGATTTAGAATGTTTTGGCATTATCCAATTTGATTTTCATGGCCTGTATAACGATGCCCAAATCTAGGGTTCATATGTGTTGTTTTTAGGCGTTTGTGTTACAGGGAAAATTGGATCAAACAATGGTTACAGGGATGACCAGGAGGAAGAGACGAGTGCATTGGTACTCTTAGGTCTCATTTATATGGCCTAGAGAGGGTTTTTAAGATGCCCTACGAAACTTCCTGCGGATAAAAATCCGCAGGTAAATAACCAGGGTTGCGTTGAGGAAGATGATAACGTGGCTTAGCGTGATTGGCCCGTTTATATAATTAGCGCGTTTTTTATTTTGCCAGGCATAATTAGTTGTTTACCATATAATATTTGTTATATATTCCACTAACAAGTTAACAACATGGCTCAGCTGGCAAGGCGTTAGTGCGTGATACCATTGGGACCTGGGTTCGAATCCCAGGTCCCCCAAAATTTTATTTGCAATTTTATTTCAGGCAATTTTATGCAGCATGCCAAGCATGGATCACCATGATCTTCATCCCATCAAATGCCAAGTGGCATGCAGGCCAAATCCAATGGCCAAAATTGGATGCTCATCATACTCCCTGGTCAACAAGCATGCATGGAATCACAAAAAAAAATCCAACAGGCTGGCGCAATTGGGCCTGGAATTTGCAATTCAAACACTCTATTCAGGCCCCCCCCCCTGAGTTTGTTCTTTTCTCTTTTATATTTTCTTTTCATTATTTTTCTATTTTTATTTTATTATTATTATTATCTTAATTAATTAATTAACAAATTAACCTTTTTTATAAAAAAAAATCAGAAAACCAAAAATAAAATAATATTTTCTATTTCATTATTTTTTTAAATAAATTTTAATCAATTAATTTAGTTTTTTTTAGGTACAATTTTAATATCTTTTGCATTAAATTAAAATCAACATAGAATTAGGATTTTTAATAACTTTTAACCATTTTATTTTATTTCCTCAATTAAAAAAAAAACCCAAAAATATTTTTCTTTTTAATTAATTAATTCAATTATTAATTTAGACTAATTTTTTTAATTCACAAATAACAAAAAGTATGCTTTCTTTAATAAAAAGGGTCAAAACCCTAAAAACACTTCGACTTAATTTTCTCGCGCGCGAATAATTTTTGATCCGTATTTCAATATTGTAACTGCTCCGGGAATGTAATAATTTTAACTTAGGACTTTA